ATAAATAAAACCTATACTACATACTATAACCTATAATAACTACTAATAAAACCTACTATATTGTATAATTGTCTTTATGTATTTGAATGTATATTAGTGTGCCTATATCAGTAGTAATAATCTTTTATTTCTTAAGAAAATATATCTGAAAAGGCAGTGTACATTTCATTTTACATAGATATACTATGTATATCATGCATTTATATATGTTTCTTTTTTTTAATTCAATAAATTACATGATATTACTTTGAGTTTTTGATTTTGTACTCGCGAGTCACAAGGTGATATGCTATGGAATAGCTACTCGGTGTCACCATTGGTTGCTCATGTTGGTAGTTGGATATATAATTGTAGAATAAAATTGAAGTTAAACGTTTGTCCATGTCGATCGAATCAGCCTGTATTTACAGCCACTGTTACTATACTACCAATACCATAGCAATCCTCCAATTATATGTTAATGTATATAAGGGAAAATAAGGTGAGTAGGTCAATGTTGTTAACTCATCATACAATAGTATATTGATGTAGTGTAGTAGTCAGTTAAACTCACAAAATGTGAAATCAGAATTAATATATCTATAGTTAATTCGAGACCTAGCCTAGAAGGTTTTACATTGTGGATCCTGGGTTGTTTTGAATTTGAATTGCAAGAACCAGCGCAGGAAGCGAGTTTGATCCCACCGGGCTAATGTATTATGTACTTTAATAGGCTTTTGCGAAGACAATTCTCACTTATAGCTGCCCACCACTGTGTCCGCTATCCGACATAGTCGGATTGCCTACCTAGATGACTAAGTTAAACGTGGATCGATTTCCACTGGACGTGACTGACTTGCTAGACATTGAAATAAACCTTAAGATTTACGATTTTTGACTTTCATAAAAGCACAAGACTGGACCCCGTCTAAACTATCAAGTCCAGATATCGGTATTCACCATCAGCGAATAGCACAGAGGCCTTCATTACTGACTTAGCGAGTTACACCGAGAGACAAATGCAGGCAGGCCCATATCGTCGGCTATGCGACGCAATCGGATGGCTTACTTAGATGTCTGAATATTATTTTAATCGATTTTCACCTTGACGTGACCGACTTGCTAACCACCCAAATACGGTGCTCCGACTCAAGATTTTGGTTTCGCGTTTCCAAAACAAGACTGGACGTATCGAGCCAGTTTTACCACTAATTTCTAAAGCCTCCAACTCGACATTCAAACGTTCCCGCCTTCGAAACGACAC